AAAAAGGCAGAAGGTAAACTTAGGCTCTCTCATTCTTTTTATGCATCTGTTACACAACCAGGAAATCTAGGACCAGCTCTTACAGAAAAAGTTCCTTTTACTTCTTAGCAAATAGAACATTTTACCTTTTGTAGCTCAGACTCATTAACAAGTTAATATAAAGTAATATTTAAGTAAAAATTCAGAAGAACACCACAAAATTTGTAATTTATTTCAGTATCCTAATAAATTTTTGTTGCTAACACTTAACAAACCAGCCATTCAAAAGTTACATATATGCTATTATTTGAAAAGCATAGAGTTATACAGCTTATCAGACTTCCTCTGTATGAAGTGACTAGCATTATGCGTGCAGAGTCACTCAAATTTACAGCAGCAGAATGGATTCCAGACATTTTAAAATATCTATAGCTATTAGTAAAGCAGTGACCATACCTGTTGTTTCAAGTGTTTGAAAGCAGATTCCCCATTCTTTGGGTCATTTAAGGCTTCTTGTAAAGCGTGGTGGGACAGTATTTGTTCCTTAAGGCGAAGTTCCAGGCCTGCATGCAAATGCAAAACTTTTACGTTTAAGTTTCGAGTTTCCAAGAGTTTCTGGTTTTGTAACATATATGTTACAATATTCAGATGCGAGCTCAATTTCCAGCACTAACAAAATAGTCTCTTGGGAGCATATATCTATCATCGTATGTTTATAACAGAGCTGTATTGTTATCTGTAGTGATATTTTGGTGGGAAACAAAAAAAACAAAAGGAAGAAAAATCAGCTATATGAACAAAAGATCAGTGTTTTATCATTCTCTCAATCTAGTTTATTCTTCTGAGTAAAACGTAGCTATTGGAGGATTGCCTACATCTTGATGGTAATTACTTCAGATGTGTTTAGAGGCAAATGTCTCACATTTTCACAGATATTTAACAACAAAAATAACAATGAAATATTTAATCAATTCAATGTAAAACATCTTATTTTCAGCATTAAGTAAGCTCACCATTGCTGGCTTTTTTCAACTTGATAATTAGGTTCTCCAGCTCTTCTTTGGATAGAGAAGAGATAGGTACCTTTTTAAGGAAAAAAAAGTGCCACCCATAAATACAAGACCTTTTTATTTTTGCTAGTTCTTTAGTCATATGATGAATTGCAACATGTTATGTAGGGACTGAGCTTTAGAACAAATAAATGTACTCACTTGTTTTTCTGGTATTTCTGTTACATCTTTTAAACCTGCATTAATATCTTGAACAAAGTAGACCTTTAAAAATCAAAAGAAAAGAAATCCGATTCTGTTAATTACCAGAAAGCAAAAAGCTAAATTCTTCAGTGTTTTTATCATAAAGTACATAGCAATAGGAATCTACTGCAAAAGAAGATATTCCAAGTTTTTTTTTTTTTCCTATAGTCTGATTCCAAATCCCCAGCAGAAAGGACTGTTCAGACACATTTTGACAAGACTGAACACATTCATAAGAGTTAAGCTGTCAATGCTTATTAGGCTGATTCCAGAGACCACTTTAAGGTTTCCCAGGTAATACTAAAGGTGCAATACTGGTAAGGCAGACAATAAAGAAGCCATCTTCTGTTTTCTTGAAACAGCTGTCAAGACATACATCCTATTCCTTCCCTCAGGACTGGCTGCAGCTGTCAGCCTAGCTTTCCATAATTCACTGCTAGCTTGACTGAAGCAGGCAGTTGGCTAGGGCAGCAGACTGCCAGAGGGAGGAAAACACCTAGAGCCTCCCTGCTAATTTTGCTTTCCAAGGACAATCTCTCACCAAGCCTCTGAAATGAATGGCATTGTGACAGACTGTTCTCAGAGGACGTTTTTGAGTAAAATTAATTCAGCATTTTCAACTAAGAGAACTGAAAAGTTGTACTGAACTACAGTGAGAGGGGACATAGAAGACGAGGAGACTGGAATGTGAGTTCCATTTCAGCGGGCACTTATTAAGCTTCCATGCCCTCCTTACTGTAGTGCTTGCTAAGACTGCTGTCCTCCAGTTCACGGCTGCTGCCAGCACAATAAATTCTCTCCAGAGCTGTAATGTTTAGGGTCTTAAATCTGAAATGAAGTAGTGCTGAATTTAGACTGCACTTACTGGATTTGGCTTCTCTCTTGAATTACATTTTTTTAAATGCTTTTGTAGTTGGTCTTCATACACAGTACTAAAACCCAAACGGAAAGAAAAGTAAGTAACAGCATTTATCATGTGAACTCTAGAAAATGAATAGAAAAAGCATTTAAATATACTTACTGTTTTGGATCAAGAGGACATGGAATTCTTTTCCTGCCATTTTCTTCCTAGTTATAAAAGAAAAGTTTTAGACAACAATTCAGCACACATTCAGCATTCCTGTTTTAGAAAAGCTGTTGAGGGTCATCTGCGCTTCAGAAACCATCAATTCTGAGGTAGATGGGTTAACCGGAATGGAGAAACTGAGACAAGAATTTAATAGTTAAATGGATCCTAAAAGAATAAACCTATCATGTAATGGCAGCGTTACTGCTGGGCTGAACTGATGGCCTTAGCACATCCAGGGCTCACAGAAGACGCAAACGCTGCCTGCCCTGCCCGTGCCGCGGGGCCAGCTCAGGCGGACATGCTACCCCCGGCCCCCCGGGGTGCCGCCGGGGCTTCCCACCTGCCCCAGCCCCTCCTAGAGAACCCGGGGCTCCCCCGGCCCCAGGACTCCATCCTCCCCAGCCGGAGGAGCGGGCCAGCTGCTCCACCCGGCAAGGCCCAGGACCTCCTGCTGCCCATGCTCTCCGCAAAAACGCCTCCCAGGAGCCGGGATCATCTTGCAGAAGCGCTTCTTCCTCTCCACGAAGTAGGCACAT